AGTGAAATTCTTCTATTCTTCTATTTTATGTACTGGCACGTGAAATTTTCAGTGGGAAATTCCTCAACTTAAGAGCCAGACAGCATATCGACTAGTATAGTATAGTTAAAACAAACTTGTCGTTTGAGATGGCGCAATCGATAAACGTTTTCCTTGCTGTGTTAATAACGATAAAAGGCAAGTAGAGTATCGAGTCTTCTCGTGGACGGCCCTCCTTTCGCTCTAGTGCACGATTTCGCTCCACCAGTGCCTTATAAGCTACAAGCTGAAAATGAAATATTCCTCGACCGGTAAAGTAATTTTCTTATTTTTACAAAAATGCCAGCTCGAAGCCAAAGTCAAATATAAGTTCGTTCGTTGCTATACTTAATCCCGTCGATGCGCATTTTCACACCGTTGAAGCAGCTGGCACCCTTTAATAAGGTTATTGTAATCAAAATTACATCACCCAGCTTCTTTCATCAACTTTTTCTATTTATCTATCTGAAGAATGTAACATGTATCGTATTCGTTTAGAAAATTCTTCACTTTTTTTAAAAATTTAGAAAAATTACTGGCCATTCTTACACACTCCTCTTTAAAGGCTATCTACTAAACATAAAGGTGCATTAGGCGCTGAGAATACGAAAATTAACAAAAGCATCGTATCTGGATAGAAAATTTGAAATTTTTTTATATAAATGTAAAATATAACAAAATTATAAAGTATATAAAATAAATATAGAAAATTTGAAAATTTGGATAGAAAACATCAGCAAATTCCTAATTAGCCATAGTTCTAGCCCGATACTCTGACCAACTACTACCTCACAGATGTGTTCCGCCTCGTCACTCATTCAGCTGGCAACAATTCCATTCTTTTATATTCCAAGCCGGTCACATCCAAATAACTTCTTAAAAACGAATCCGTTTGCTTACAGTGCGAAGGTATCACTCAGTAATATTTTTCAATTTATTCATTTATTTTTTTTTTTTATTTTTGCCTCTTTCTTTTGGCGCACATTGCCTTGGAAACACCGCTCATGCCAGGGCCAAATTTAAAGAATTTATCAAAAATGCAGTAGAAAAAGTAGTGTTCAATTCTCTAGAGGTTTTATATTGTAAAAATTTTCCAAGCAGCTGCTACGATTTCAGGTAAGCAGAAAAGAGTTCAACAAAAGGAGAGAGAGAAAGAGAAAAAAAGTGGCATCTAAATTTTCAAAATATTATGCATTTTACCTGCAAAATAAGTTCCTGAAGTTGATCAGTTTTCTGTCGGATTCGTTCATGTCTTTTCACCTTCTCTTCTTCCAACTTCCGGCATTCCTGCACAGAGGATGTGGGCAGTCCAACCCAACGAATTTCCTTTTTCTCCTTCTCAATTATGTTCATCGCCATTAAAACATTTAATGCATCGTAGACACGGCGACGGATATTTTTCATATCGTACTGTTGTTTCTCCTGCAAACACATCACGCTGAATGCATATTTTGATAAATTTGACCTAAAAAAATGCGTGTTTCACGCTGTTGATTTTTATCAAAATAAAAGAAACGACCACTCGGACTGCTTTCGAATATCTGTGGGTTAAGTAAAAAAGTTCAGAAAAAGATGATTATGGAACTGTTATTTGGCGAAGTGCCAAACAGTACTTTGTCTAGCCATTTTTCAATACTTTGTCCAATTTTGCATCCTCAAAGCAGATGATAACATTCTCCTCCCCGTCCCCTCTCCCCTTTTTGCTTTATTCGACGCTGCATTTCCTGATGGTCATTTGGGGCTAATTTTTTTGTCCCTTGAAAAAGCTCGAAAAAAGAAATGCCTGATGCATCATTTTGCTTGCGTAACTTATGTATTCGTAGAGTTCGCTTGCTGGAGGCTCTTCGTAACAACAATCATTTACAGGAGGAAATATCTGACGAATTAATAATACTAAAATTTTTCAAAACTATTAAAGGTTGGCAAAACAAGCTTTCCACAAGCAAATTCACCGGCCCTATTCCAATCCAAGTCAAAATCCCCTCCGTAATTTGGTTTCTGCGAGAAGGGGGGGGGGCGCTCGGAAACAGTCCGAATGGTACAAAACTACCAATCGCTGTTAAAAAGAGCAGTTACTGGCCCGCTGGTAAAAAGATCAATAACTCCTTCTTTTGAAATGTAAGGGCCATTAGTAGGCCGAATGAAAAATGGACGGTCCAAGTGAGGCGGCTGAACTGGGTTGAACTGACAAAAATTTTGGCCGTTGATAGGTTGAACCAAACGTTCTGAAGCAACGGCCAGTCCGAACCGTGGAAAACAGAGAACGGCCGAAATCCATAAATTTTAGTGGGAGAAGGGGTGGGATTAATTAATGGAATATGACGGGAAAGATAGTGGGGTTATTAATGTGGTCCAAATTGCATAATATATAAAAGGGTATGCGTGCAGATCAATTAGAAAAAAGCTGAGTTTGGCTTGTTGGCATTATGCCAGCGCCAGTTTACTGCCAGAAAGAACGGATCGTAAACGAATTGCTTATCTCATTACCGAAACCAAATATTTGGCCCGTAAATTCAGGGCAATATGCCCGTAAATGGGGTGGTAAGTGTTGCAGGCCAAAAATTCCCGTTTCGGAATC